GTAGATCAAAATGATCCGGATCAAAATGATCCGTGCTATGATTGGTCAAATCTGGAATTTCATTGAATAAAATTTCAATGAGATGCTACGAAATTTAAGATTTGACCAATCATAGCACGGATCATTTTGATCCGGATCATTTTGATCTACGTCGCGAAAGCACCCCAAGATACGGGAAGCGAACCGTCGAATCGCTGCCTATTGTTCGCGCCTGCCTGCGATGTACATCGAGTGAGTAAAGAAGAGCCGCGAACGCGTCGAGCAGTGGTCAACGCGTGTGCTTTGCGTGTGAATTTACGCGTTTATTCGTGATATCGAAGTGACGGAATCCGAAGTGAGAATGTTCCGCGCGTCGAATTACCTTTCACGCCGCCGACGCGAGTGTTACCGGCGACGTGCACGGTCGTGTTCCGCGTGGAATGGTCGATTGCTCGTCAACGTGCGTATGTCCACTTCTCAAATCCAAATTTAACCGCGCTCACAGTACTTGATGTGGGACTATAGCATTGGTGATTGGTTCCGCCACTTCGCTTCAGAGCCAATGAAAACTTTGACAAGACTGTCCAGACTCTCTCTTCTAGGGACTCTAATCAAGCCTAGTTCGGTCTCCTTAGGGCAGTTTTCACCAAGGTGAAAGATTGCATCGCATGTTACTAGATCGGTTAGGTTAACCGGAGCTTGGTGAAAGTGGCCCTTAGAAAATAACATTACAAATATACCTTCTTCTTATTTACGGTGTATGTACGCTTAGTTTGTACATAGGATTCACTACGGGTTCAACATGGCGGTCAGCCAATCAGCAAGCGAGACGTCGATTGCGCTTCTCCGATTACTTTCATTTGAACGTGATGCCCGTGCGCCTTTTCAGCGTCCATAAACGCGGGATGAGCAACGCGCAAAGTAAACACACCAAGCCTCGTGCTGTAGCGTGAAAATATAGCAACGCCTGGTGCGCACTGCCGCTCTATAATTCTATCGCGAATTTCTTGCCGCGCTCGTCCCCATCGTAATGCACGTCGAATCTTGATAATGAACAACCGTTTTTTTTTATGGTCGTGCAGTATCACCGGAAGCGCACTTCAGTTCGTTTGCCGCCAAACTGCCCTGCGTGCTGCGATGAAGTTGTTTATCCGTCAGCTCTCGGATCTGCGACCGTAGCGTGGATAATCACATTGAACGTGCACGCGTTACGCATTGCTGTACCGCCGACGTACCACGAATTTGTCTCCGCGTGTCCGTTGGGATCGACTCGTCGCTCGAACTCTTCATCTCGTCGGACATATCATGGCCAAGGTTCAGCTAGCGAACGTCGCTGTCCTGGACAATCCCTCGCCGTTTCTGAATCCGTTCCAGTTCGAGGTCACGTTCGAGTGCATCGAGGAGCTGAAGGAAGGTACGATCTCGCGAATGCGCTGGTTCGTGCTACGACGCTCTTGCCCCATTCGTTCAGTACCCTCGGCACACGATCGTTCTTTAGGTTAATTTTGCAATTGCCATGATGCCCATAGCCGCCAAATGATACGGAACTGTTCGCAAGTGTTCAATAATGCGCCTGATTGTAAAACGTAAAATTTGTGATAAAACAAGAAAGGCGACGCATGCTCCAGTGTGATAAAAGTTTTTGGTTGACCAAGCTTCTTTGCAATGTAATTGTTTCAATTCTCTTGCGCGTTCGTCATTCAACAACATACATAATATCATTTCTATATATATTTGTGTGTGCTGAAGACACATATTATGGTATAAAACTGTACAATACCGATATTCTCTTAGATTTGGAATGGAAGATGATATATGTGGGCAGCGCAGAGTCGGAGGAATTCGATCAGGTCCTAGATACCATTTACGTCGGTCCAATCCCTGAAGGAAGACACATGTTTGTGTTTCAGGTAAAATATCATGAATAAACAGGTATAAATGTTTCATATCGCAATTTATCTTGATGGCATCTCTTCTGTTCTTAGGCTGATCCACCTGATGTGAGTAGAATCCCAGTCAATGACGCTTTAGGCGTGACCGTTGTGCTGTTGACTTGCTCGTACAGAGGTCACGAATTTGTTCGCGTGGGCTACTTCATAAACAACGAATACACGGATCCAGAGCTCCGGGAGAATCCACCGCCACAGCCACAATTCGACAAGGTTCAGAGAAATATACTAGGCGATAAGCCGCGCGTCACTAGATTCAAAATCAACTGGGACGACTGTCCAACTGGCACAGCGAACAATCTTCCCGAAGGCATGGACGCGCCAGCGTTAGAAGACACGTCGCAAGACGCGCCCACATCCACATTAGGCTTCACGGAGAATACGCAAAATGGTGGGATGGAAGTGATGTAAAAAAAAATGATTTGCTGTTGAGAAAATAACTCGGTGAACTAGTGTTACGCAACAATTTAAATGATAAATGTAGTACCTGGAAAGAAGATGGAAAGGCAAAAGTACACACTCGGTATATATACATGCATATATACATATATATAAATATGTGTCTGTATGTGTGTGTGTATACATATATATTTAGATAATTCAAAAAGTCGCGCAAAATAACCTTCCGTATTAATGTTTTCCTTCGAGAAAATCCATGAAGTCTGTACATTTTGAAAAAGAGCTATCTGTTGATAATGTGATAACCTTACACCTTACATCTGAATAAATAAGTACGATCATTTGGATTATTCACGGGATAGTTACTTTCAGGTTTCTCTCAATTACACATTTGCAACTTAATCTCTTTAAGATGTAATTTATGTAAAAAAAACCGACTTTAGAAATAATAACAAACAGCAATTGTGGCTCTACTTGTGCACAAATAGATTAAATATAACAAACAATTATAAATCATCTTTCTGTAATGCAACAGTAAATTCAAATACATGCTAGCATGCAATTATTGTTTTAAAGTTATAATGTTTAAGCGGCTTCTAATTTGAAGCTTGAAACTAAAAAAAAGCTATGTTTGTGTTTTTTAATATTACATCATTATTGCTTACTGTAACGTCACATTGCATTAAATTGTAAGAAGTTTCCAATTTTATTAGTGTATATATACATATATGCTAAGATAAAAAATACATATTATGTTTTTTACTTGAAGAAAAATGTTTTCTCTTCCCCCCCCCTTTGCAAACTTCTAAAAATTTGGTTTCGAATTGGTTTGGTAATCCACAATTACTGCAATAACTATAATATATAAAATTATTGCATTCAACAAAGATTTTTGCTATTCTGATGTTTGAGACTTTCATGGTGTATATGAATATTAGATTTGGTTTCCGAGGCTCTGGTTCTGGGACTTAGATTTGGTTTCTCTTTAAAGAACTGTATAAGTTTGCTATTTTATTCTAATAATAAAAATAATATCGAATAAAATAGTAAACTTATGCAGGCTCCAATTCGAAAGCCAAACCTTGTATTTGTACTATAATGCATTTTTATTTTTCTCCCACTAATAAAAGTGTACATTTTTAACTTAAGATTTAATGACCAGTTTCGATAAATCTGAAATCTATGTTTTATATAAAATTTTAAGGCATTGTTATTCCAGATACAGTGCTTGCCATAAGAAAAGTTCTCACCCTTTAAAACGTGTTATTTTTTTAAGATATATTTACACAGTAATAGCTACTATCTGTAGAGAAAAGTCCTCTATTATGATTATAGTAAAGTTTTTGCTAAATTAATAGGCATCATCTATTGGTTTCATCGTAAAGCTATTGCCCTTGGAGCAAGCAGTGCAAAGTGACGTCTAAAATTTAACTCTTTTTTTTTTTTCATAATTTCTATATAATTTCTATATAATTGTGAACTAACTATGAACTAACTTTTTATGTACATACACGTATAAAGAACTTGCCTCTATCTGTCTCTTCCTCCGGAAAAATTCAGCGTATCTTGTATCTACAAGGAATTCAAGAAACGTAACTCATATCTGTAGCTATTCGTTGATTGCACGAAAAACTTATTTTGTATCTGTATCTCTCTTTGATTAAGAAGGTACCAAGATACAACCCTGATAGCACAAGTCTCAGTTATGTCTCAGTTATGTTGCAGTTATGTGCTATCAGGAAAGTTCTAGTAGCAAATAACACAGTTACATACAACAAGCGTCGCAATAATTAAGGCAATTATTTAAAATAATTAGGTGAGCTCTTTTGTTGTTAACAAAATAAGACATGTTTAAATAAAACCTACATTACTAAAAAATTACTCAATTTTATAGTTTAATGCGTTCATATTCTTAAATCTGAGAAAAAGTATATAATTCTGTTGCAATAATGTTTAGGGTTTTAAAAAACAAAGGTTTGATAAGACAAATAATAAATTGTAAAAAGTGAGCCCTTTTTGTAATAAGCACTGTATAATTACAAAATCAAGTTTCTTGAACTAATTGTAAGATCCTAAACCCAATTAATTCTACGTTTGGCATATTACAAAAGAAAAATTTGATGATGCATTTAACATTTTTACAATTGGAGCACAGATGTAAAAATATGTTACGGATTTTTCTAATAAAATGTAAATCTTTCTACCTCCTTCGTACCATATCACGTATAGCTCTACAGTATTTGTTTCAATTGAAACGTACACATTGCTTACACTTTGTGCCTTCAATGTACGTTGGTATTACAAAGTGTGAAACAATTGGAAAGTACCTACTAATATCACTATGTAATGCACTTAAAATCCTACAACTTATAAAAATTTTTTTTCCAAAATGCATTATTTACGAAACATTCTATTAATCTGTTACGTTTAAAATTTAACACTCTGGATAGACTATCCTGTATGCATATGTAAAATTAAAAATTATTCGATTTACGACCACTTTTTAAACTTACTAGATTTCGAGGATTCATTGCAGTAGCGAAAGCCGCGTCCTTATTGCCATAGCAACAGGGTTTCAGAATCCGCTTCCTTATTACCTTATTGCCATAGCAACAGATTCTAGACTAGAGATCTGCTCGTATTTTTTGCACTTATGGCACTTCGAATCTTCTCTGTCCCCCACCCTCTCCTCCACTCTCTTTCCAAAACCTAATACGTATCTCATTTTTAAAGTGCAGGTATTCAAGCTATTCATAAATATAGATTTGAACCCTCCTTTAATTGTCATGGTGAGATATTCACGCACGTATACTTTTATATGGTTACATGCACCCCATATTCGACATTTGTAGGAAAAATATAAAAAGACTCAACCTGACTAATGAATCTTTCAAAAAATTACTAATTTCTCTTTTTCTTCGTGTTGTAATTTCTTACGATTACAGTATAATTTGTTACTAGACTTTTTTATTTGGTATGATCACAGGTTTCACTGCCTTGTGCATAAGATAAGTGCATTACACAATAAACAATGTGCAATATATAAACTCAATGAATATTAAACAATTATTCTGAATGAGTATTCCAAAGGCATTCTCGACGAATATTCTAAAACCATTCTTCTTTGTTATGAATATACGATTTCTAATTGTAATAATCTATATATATTTACAGAATATTTGATTCGAATATTCTGAAATAAAAAATATTTGCACTCTAGAAGAATATTCATAATGTGTGCTATCTGAGTGCCACGTGGCAACATGTGAATCGAGCACATGTTAATAATAAACACCTTTGTTGATTGGACGTCTTTCCTGTCTTATTTTCAAATTTAAACTGTCAATATCTTATATCAATATCCATTTTATTAAACGCACACGTACACATGCGAACAGCAAAGTGACGTAAACAAGTAATAAAGTAGTTGCTTTATGAACATCACTCTAGTACTTGCATCGTAATTTATATCTACAGTTGTATACATTTAAAATGGGTGTAGTTTTAATTTTTATATTTGTGAGTATATATGTATACAATATAACATATAATTCTTTTACACGTGTCCATCTATGTTTACATACATTATTAATGTATGTACGTAATTTAATTACATTTTTAAAGAAATTATTATTTTTCACATTTATATTTATATAGATGTAAATTAATATTTTTATATTTATTTTATTGATATTTAAACTTGTGTATATTATAAATTACCCTAATTTTTGTATGGACGGCCCTGAGTTTAGGTCTTTCCCTTTCCATTGTCCCATTATTCCCCACTGTTCGTTTCAGAAGCCAGACTAGGCAGTGTGCAGGCACGAACCTGTTAGTTCATGTTGAGATTGCGAACAGTGCAGATAGCAAGCAGAAATTTTCGACATATGTACAACTGAGTGAAGAAAACGAGACAGAACATCTTATCCTGTTCAACACTCTATCGAAGTGGCTTATAGTTTTCTTAGTCGCTCATAACAATGCGATAATTGTAACAATTGCGGATTTCACATCTCCTTGGAATAAAAATGGTAAGGGTATCATTATTATTCTCATTACTCGAATCTGCCATTCTGCAATACCAAAGTGTCATAATTTCATCGAGTCGCGAGACGAAAGTTGCACAGATACTCGCGTAAACGTCTAATATACTCCGGAACTAGTGGCACGTGTTTCAACCATTCCTCACGACTTTGAAAGCGCGATCTCGGCACTTTAAAGGGAAATTCGAGACTGTTACGCGTGAAATTGTGAAAGAGTTAGTGAAAGAGATAAAAAGAGAAGAGGAGAAAAGTGCGATTATTTCGACTCGAAATTTTGTTCGAATTGGCCTGGAAGTCGACGCGAGAATCTTTCGAAAACATTTTAAATGAATGAAAGGACTGTTGAGAGCAAGTGCCAAAACTTATGGCGTGTCAAATGCATAATTAGAAATCTTCATTTCTATGCATTATATCAACATATTAATTTCTTTATGTTCATTACTTCTATAATTCGAACGTATTAATTTAGGTGTTCAATTTATCCTTTGGAGATAATAGGGATTGTCAACAAACATATAACACGATCGACGCAAATATTTGTAGTCCCCCCCCTCCACCCAGCACACACACACACACACGCGCGCGCGCAGCCGACTGAAAGCTTGAAATCATTATTAAAAAATATTTATTATACTAAATAAAATTAAATATGCGTTGTAAATTTAATATATCTTTACTTCATTGTTTATAATGAATAAAAATATAATACGAGAAGTTTTACAAAAAAATACATACGATGAAAAGAGCGTTAGATACCTTTTCGTCAAACAGTAGCCGTCCACATTTAGTCACTTTTGTTAAATTAGATAATCCAGCTATAAATTTATTAATTTTTCTGATGAAAAATTCTTTCATCCATCTTTTAAAGTAATCCACAGCTCAGTTTTGGAAAGAATTAAAGGACTTACGATCATAATACTTTTGTCATCGAAAGTCAGCGGGAGGCACACACACACGTCCTTATTACAGCATTGATTATCCGTGAGTCCGAGATATTCGAGGTTGATGATCTGAAATGATTCACCGGCATCTTTCTAGAACTCTCTGGAATTCTCCAGAACTTTTCATCGGTCATCTGAAATAACGGAAATCCCATGCAATTCGTCTTACTCAAATCTAAGTGCAAACAAAATATCTCAGAGCTGGCAAATAAAATTGATACAAACATAAGCAATACTATACATACATACGTTATTGCGCAGCTCGTGTCGCGGCGTTTTTGTTACAACAATTTGTTACAGGTCTTGTATTGTTAAAACATTTGTTATAACTTTATTATAATAATTTGTAAAAATAGAACCATGAAAAAGTATTTTTACAAATCTTGAAAAATTAGTACAACAGTTTCAGGACATAAGAGTATAACAAATTCTTGATCGCCATACAATAGCGTTCGTGCAATGTATAACTTTATTTTATAAGTTTCGATCGAGATAACTTGTTAAAAACGATTCAAAATGCACCTCAATTCGCACCTCAAAGATTTCGGAGCAGGGATGCGTGGAGAATACACGAAGGCGTGATGTCGTAAGTCCGCGAGCGATTTCATCATCCTTCGTGGTGGAGCGCTACATATCGACGAAATCTATCGATTTATCGACGGTGTAAATCGCAGGAGGGAAAGGGAGGGAAAGAGAGAAAGATGCGCAATTAAATTGCGTTTATTCCCGATATTGCGCGTCGACGGATGTGGTGGAACATGCAGTCGCTGCGACGTCACGAATGACCCTCATGGTTTCCCTTGCCTAGCCGACAAAAAAATCAAGTACTTATATCGGAAAATGGAATCGCGTGGCAAAGGAAACCGTGAGCGAAGCGATACAAAGTTGGATCTACGGGTCGATATATCTCAAAGATGAGGGATGCCGAAGGATTCGGCTTTCACAGTATGCGACAAGTGCGGCCCGAAAGGCATGAGTCATCCTGTTCTGGCAGGTTTTTCTCTCCCGATCGGCGCCGGAAATCGCCGAGCGAAACTTCAAGAGCGGCAAATGCTGCGTAAGAGGGGTGCTTTTGCTATATGGCCACCATTTCTATTCTGCGCATCAATTTATCGATGCAATAACAAGTCCTATCTATCCCAGTTGATAGCTAATATTCTTTTAAAAGCTAATTCTAAATATTTCTTATTTTAGCGAATTTGCCCACTAGAGTAAACCTTTATATTTTTTAATTTTTAAAAATTCTTTACAGTTTATTTCTAAAGAATGTTTATTTAACATTATTAAATTGATTGTAAATTTAATAAATTAAATTGAAAAAAATTAAATAAATTGATAATCAATTTATAATAATAAATAAAGGTATATTAAAGGTATACTATTTCGGCGTCAGCTTTACATTGTGTTAAATCGTCAACAACTTGTTAATTCCGCTTCCTTTCTCATAGAAAAATTTGCGGCATATAATAATTGAGATTAACGAAATATTGAATTTAAAAAATGATAAACTTTCAAGTAGGACCCTCGAAACTAAACAATATATGTGAACATGCCTAATGCGGGTCAACAAGGCAAGATGTAGGTAGCCCGACTTGTAGATCTTCAAATCTTTCAGAAAAATGCGTTATGTCCGGAAAAACAATTCGGCGCGTAGTACTAATGTGGAAAGAAACGGTATAAAGATTCACGATTTTTCTGAAAGAGTTGAAGATCTACAAGTCGGGCTACCTACATCTTGCCTTGTTGACCCGCATTAGGCATGTTCACATATATTGTTTAAAAAATGATTTCGACAATTTTCTTAAACTCACGCTGAGAGAACGCGTCCCTCTGTTGCAGGTTCCATCGCTGTATCTGTATCAATCGTGCGAGAACGACCAGGAGTGTCCCGAAAAGCGTTATTGCTATGAGGTGTCAAACTTGTGTATAGAATATACAAACTGCTCCCTTTACTACCGCAAAGAGCGAGACGTACCGGCCCGTCTGGTAGAAAATTGCGGGGATTGTTTGTCTGGGTAAGATACTTATCATTAACTGAGTTCTCTTCGAAGTAAAATATATACATGACTTTCGAAATAATAATTGGTCATAGTGTATGAAGTATCAACGTAATATAAAACGCAAGTATATATTAAAATCGCCAAAAAAAATCAACAATATATCCATGTGATTTTTATCACTTCTCTAAAACAAAATTCCTAAATGAGGCCGTAGCGAAAGAATCTGCAAGAACCTTATGGAATTCGAAAAACCTATTACATTCTTATTAGACAAAAGATTATAGTCATTAGCATAATGATAATTATATTTTTGTGCATTTATCAATCTAGGAATACGACGAGCGACATATGAATGTAAAATATCGTTGTAGTTAATCAAGTGTCATGCATCGCAGTAAACATTTGATTAGAATGGTGTCGCATAACTGTAATTATCAATATCATAACGAATTAATGTAACATTAAAGCATCTACTCGATATGTTTCTATAGATAAAGGAAAGTCCCCTATTATGAGATAGGATTCCAATATGAGATAGCGGGGTCTCCGTTAAATTAATAGACATTATCAGTTGATGCCACCATGAATTTATTGTCCTCGGAGCGAAATCTGTTTAGTGGAAAATTCATTTTGTTAGGATGTGTAATCGTTACGAAAAAAGATTTGTGATTGAATTTGGGTGTTAAAAATGCTATCTCGTATTTAGAAACTATCTCATAGTAGAGGACTGTCCTCTATATAAAAAAATTATCTTTATCTTATCTATATATAATCCTTTATTTTTTGATATACAGATTCCTAACTGAAACACTCTCTGATGGCTCAATCCGGTGTAACAGAGATACTGACGTAAATACAGATACTAACCAAAATACAAGTAAGTAATGTAATTGCTTTTGGATTTATAATTTGTATAATGTACTTGTAAAATTATTATTATTATTTATCCGCTCTATTGCTAATTTCCATCATTTATTACTCTCTCATTGAAGTAATAAAATCTGTATAAAGCCCAATGTCCACGATCCAAGAACTGTGTCAAAGTTCTAGTTTCGAAAAATGCGCAGCCAATCAACATGCAGCTTGTATGGAATAGCTGCAAGCTGATTGGCTACGCATTTCTTGAAACTAGAACTTGGACACAGTTCTTGGATCGTGGACATTGGCCTTTAGATACACGTATCTTTTAAGTTCCACAAAACTTTTTGTTTCTTCTTCAATCATTCAATAAATTTTTTGTTTGCAGATATAATAATAGGAGTAAGTGTATCAGTTATAATCATTGCTATTATCATTGCTACCATACTATTTACTTTCATCCGGAAGAAAAGCTGTACACAATGTAAGTTTTAGTTCTTCTTTCTGGATAATCTGTTCATATGATTTTCTTTTCCTTTATTCATAAAAAAATACAATAAATTATATATATTTACAATTTAAAATGATATTTAATTTTTTTTAATTTACCATTTTCTTGCTGGTATTAACAAATATTTTATTTTTGATTTCTTGATCATCGTGAGCATGTTCAGTCATTGAGACTTTGATCTTATGTAATAAAAACAAATGAGTTGTATAATTTAATGTTTGTCAATGTTGAATAACTACCTAATACGTCTTAATGTATCTTTTCTCAGGCTTCAGATTTTTTACACAAAATGCTAGAACACAGATACAAACTTACAGTGTTGCAAAGACTAGTAGAGATGATACAACAAATAACAACGAATTAAATATTGCCAGTGCTCCGCCAGAAGAGCAACGTAAGTATATTTATGCACACACATGCACATGCGCGTGCTGTATAAAGTATTTTATTTCAATCAATACATCTCTTGGACATCAAATAATATTAGTAAATCTTTATTTTATACAGAAATGGTTTAATTTTGAAAGATATCTTATCTTCGGACAATATATCTTTAAATACAATTGCTTCTGAAATAGTTAATTCAATTTTTATCCTTAAAAAAGTGTTTTCTATAGTAATAAAAAAATTAATTAATTTTCGTGACTGTATAAAAATATTAAGATAAAACATCACACAAAGAGTGATTATGTTTAGAATGAAATATTTTATATTTTAATTTCATATTTTATTGTTACATAAAACTTATGGAATATTTTTGCCTCAGTATTTAGTTTTCTATGATTTTTTTCCTGAATATATTCATACATATGAAACATCGATTGATAAATACATACATATATGCTGCCATCTAACAAAAAATATAAATACATTGTGGCTGGTATTCATAATTAAACCTTGGGTATATGTATACCTAATGTACAAAAGACAATCAATCGCGACTTTCTGTCATTCTACATATAAAAATATAAGAGTACGATCATTGAAAAAAATTTTTAAGTATGTTTTACATGTCATCAGTGTCGTAACTAGCTTTTAATGTGTTCTATGCAAGTATTTTTTATGGACTCCTTAATTTTTTGGGAACATTAAAATAAACGCGATATAACAATTGTTTATTAATAATTTTTTGTATTCAAATATTGGTGAACAAAGTAGTAGGTAATCTGCTGAGAGCGTGTTGGAACTGAATGACGCAAAACGCTAAGTAACGCAAATTTAAAATTAAAAAACTTGAAAATATTACTAAAATGACAATGAGGCAATAAGAGTAAAACGCGGTTGTGAATTATACAGGGTGTCCTGGACAATGCTCGTGAGAAGGTAAAGCAAATTAAACTAAAAAGAAAAGTTACGTATATTTTGTAAATTCGCGATAGTTATCAAGAAATTAATTCAAACGTCTGAGCAAATGAACACATAGAATGCGATAGGCCGGATGCGATAGGCCGGACTCAGTAGGCATTTAAAATTTGTTATGTCTCCTAGCAATGGTGAGCATCATCTAACAGCGAGAAGTAAACGTGCGACACTATATATGACCGCGCCAAAACAAATTATCGCGCAGCGAGAGCTCCGAATTCATTACTGGGTAACTATTGCAAATTGTATAAAATAGTACATAACTTTTCTTCTCAGTTAAACCCATTCTACCTTTTCACGAACGTTGTCAAGAGTGCTCTGGGACAGAGCTGGGATTTAGTTGCACTTTTCCGAGGCAACGCCTACCTTACCCCCACTACCGCTCGAGACTCGACGGTCGAGCCGCCGATTGCCCGCGTGACGCTGTGTCTCAGGAGCGTCACGCGTATTATAGTGTATGGTGAGAGTGTAACTTCCCTAATAAACGATATCACGTAATTAGAACATTCCTTTTTTAAATTTATTTTAATAATTCCAAATCTTTTTGTTATTATTATTGATATTCTACATATGCTATTATTATTAATTTATATTCATTAATAATTCTGTAATGATATATTTTATTTAAAACTCTTAGCATGTGTGCTACATTTGTAACATGATCTAATATAATTTTCTGTAAATTTATTCTGTATATTCAGATAAAAATTTGTATTATAATCGTCCATATTGGATTTTAATTACAAATCGTATCGAGGAATTACGATTCATGTTATGGAAATATTATATTTGAAAAGTTTTTGTCAGTTCCACTTCAGAGCTTCCTTCGTCTTGGAGCTTGTGGTGTGTCCATGCACCTGTTGCATCTAGCTAGTTATGGCACTGTCATAATAAATCTTGGGTATCACGAATATTCTTTTCGATTATTTTACTTTAACATGTTCATTGTTATGACGATCATTAATAACCGATATTGAGCTTTCTATTTAAACCGCGTTGATCATTTTGACTCAGTATTATTGACCACGATTAACTTGTAAATTGTTTATAAGATTATAACTTAATACAAAAAGCATATAAAAACAAAATACATTGACATAAATAAATATTTTTATTATATAATAATATTATAACTCATTTTTATATCTCATTGTTCTTTATACATAAAACAACATGCATGCGCGGAAAGTTAGATACGTTATGTTTGACGTTAATACTTATGCATAAAAATTATTTAAAAATCGATATATGTAAAATAAATCCTGTAACCATATTTCCGTATAAAATCGCAAGTGAGTCCACTTGTATTACTAATCATTTCTAATAGTTATCTTATTATATAAGAATTATTTCTGTCTTTGACAAAGTTTGGTATCTTTAGATTTTCCTTAATACTTTGTATATGTGTATATTTACGTTGTTTACATGTGGTGGGGTAAGCTTTCTATCCTATCGTCTTTACAAGACATTTCTCTATAATCAGGCTATGTCATTTAAGACGAATTTGTTTAAATGTTTTGAGATAAAGCTTTTGATATAGTTTGATTAAATTTAAATAATATAATGTCCTGAAAAGTTACCCTGGTGAAAATTTCTCTCAAAATTCTTTATAGTGTCCGTAATTACCCAAGTATTGGAAATTTTACAAGATGGTACATAACTCTTATCCAGTTTAACATGCTCTATCTTCATCTTCCGGTTGGTTACTCCTACATCGGACACCCAGTATAATTTGTCAAAATTTATTTACAAGAATTTTTCATAATTTCTACATACTTGTGAACTAACTATGAACTAACTTTTTAGATAATTTATATAAATCAAACATTTAGACTCATTTCATACCAGTTGCAATACTTCATAAACGTTGAGAAAATCTTCGTTTTTTTTTCTACAAGTCTTTGTACATGTAAATTCTGAAATATTTTAAGATTTCTTATTCTCCAATTTCCGAGTAAAATGTTAAATAATTAAAGATATTTTTATTTAGAAATTTCCTAAATTATAAATATAAAGAATTCTTAATTTTCAAGACGGTCTTGAATATAAGACCTGACTATATAAATACCGGTTATACATATAGATACGCAACCATAATAGATTGCCGTCTCTATGTAGATTTCTATACATATTGTACAGATTATGCAAAGCTATTTAATTTTTTAAATAATTTTTATTTTCTGGTAACATATCTTCTTATATCAAGCTATCTAAATTATTTTATGCGCAAACTATAGCTTGCAAGTAATTGATCAATTACTCCGTGTGAAAGAAAACTTCGCTTTTTCATGATAAAACTGCTTAATGAAGAAAAATCGGATAATTTTCAAATAATGCTTTATATGTAACTGGCACAAAAGTTTGCACAAATCAATAATTTTCATGTTACACAAATAACTTGCACTACTTATAATCGCACGCTTGTAAGCTTTAGACACTTTCTACGTAAATAGAACACGCTAACGAAATTATTACGTTAGTAATTATTACGTTACAGTAAAACTACGTATATCTACAATATATCGACGTAGTTGAATGCTGAAATGAAAGTGCGAAGAATTCAGACCGCGGTAATTGTCCTGTGTAAACGAAATGATGTATTATAAATTATTTATAATAATACGCATACGCGATAACTTTAATAACTTTGTAAACGTTCGTTTTTGTAGGTTCACTCATTAAGGTTGCTGAAGAGAAATATCACAATATTAACAGACGTATTATAAACAATGAACATCAAACTGCTACACCATTTGTGCCAGGACAATGGGAGATTGACTACTATGCGAATAATCCTCTTATGTCAGATCATGTCATACCACATCTCGATAGTAACATTTGTAATACAAGTGTTTTTGAAGATATTCCTGATATACATATTCCTGAAGCACGTGTTCCTGAAACACGTGTTCCTGGAGTACGTACCCCTGAAGCACGTATTCCCGAAGCACGTGTTTCTGAAGTAGATATTCCTGACATAGGAAATATTGCAACTCAATTACAACACAAAAGTCCGACTACAATGTAAGTAATGAACTAAATTTTTTTGAGTCAACAAATTCATATCAAACTAATATTTCAACTATTTCAACTATTTTTTTCAACTATTTCATGTAAAATGTGTAATATATGTTATAGGCAAGTTATTTATAACTACTTTGGATACCGACCAAATGCTACTAACGAACGGGAAGATCATATCAGGAATACAACATTGCTGCAAACAGTTTCAACAGATAATGGCACAAATCTTTCTCCCAGGTTGAACAGAACGAATAACTCTGGTAAGAAAAGCAATATTTTCATCATTCAAGCACTCAATTAAAATATTAATGAGCAAACTGATTCAACAGATTCAACAGATTCAACAGATTCAACAGATAATAGCACAAATTCCTCTCCTGAGTCGAACAAAAGGAAGAACTCTGGTAAGGAAAGCAATATTTTCATCAATCAAGCACTTAATTAAAATATTAATATACAAACTGATTCAACAGATAATGGCACAAATCCCTCTCCTAAGTCAAACGAGAGGAAGAACTCTCGTAAGGAAAACAGTATTTTCATCAGTCAAGCACTCAATCAAAATATTAATTTGCAAGCTGATTCAACGGACAATGGCACAAATTCCTCTCCTGAGTCGAACAAAGGGAATAACTCTGACAAGAAAAACAATGTCATTATCTCACAAGCGGTCAATCATAATATTAATATGCATGTGATTTATCCATAAAATGTTAACGATTATCAATGATTGTTATTATTATTATTATTTGTAATACTTAGTATATTATGTAACAATATAATGATAATAATTATTCGGATATTATCCGGAAGCCATGACGACTAAATAATAATTATTGTTGATACTCGTTTTCATTGTTGGGTGACAAATGACTCTATAAAATCGATGGCCTTGAATTCGATTCTGATCTTTACATACTATCATATGTACGTCTTAGTCTTATACAGTTTTTTTAGTTTGGAACATATCCAACTCGAGGAGTTATTGGTTTACATTTACACTCTAGACTTTACTTGATTTCTTTTGCGGAACTTAAATAAATCTATAAGTTTTTGCTCAAACTTATAGATTTTTCTCTTACTCTGTTAATGAGATATGCAGGATGGAGGCTGTAACCAAACCAGGACCTAATCATTACTAATCATCCATATAGGAAGTCGCACTTCCATATTTTCCAAACTATACTTTAGGAAACTATAATTAGAAAAATATTCGTTAGACGAAATATTACATCAAGAGATACGGTAGTGTCTTGTGTATTGTGATACGTTGATGTAATCAACGTATATTATTACCCCAGTATAACCAGTAGAGTCACTCTCCGTCGGCACCTTTCATCTGGGCGTTCTCACTTTCCCGCCATGGTTTCATAAACGCCAACAGTGTATCAACGGCTAAGAGCGCCTGGACCGTTTTTAGGATTGTATTCAGAAAATGCGCAAACGAGCTGGCATACATTATTTATTTAAATGGCCTATGGAAAAAAATTGTTTTAATAAATGTAATTAATGTAATTACTTGCTCCAACGTATAAATGTATTTACGCATTATTCGTCAACACTGCGAATTTTTCAATGTCGTACCGACTTTGCACTAACCACGTACAAAAATCCTGTGATTGGCCATTATAAAAACATGTCGGATACGCAGTACGGATCGGCGTGAGCGTGAAACGAAAGAACGAGTGATCCTGCTGGTTATACTGTGTTATTACTACAGCTCGGATTTTCCGCAGGCCGTTGTATGTACATATCAATTCGAGTCGGCCATAGCACGTTCCTCATGACTCTCCCCACTACCACTCGCCTAAGGCCGCGGCGCAATGGTGGGGGGAGCGACGGCGAGTGGCAGTGGGGAGAACTGGCTACGGTCGACGTTATCTCAGAGCTTTAATCCGGGCTCTAATTATTACTATTAAAAGTTATAAAAACAATCTTCTGATAGATTAACTTACACTTCTAGTATATATACTAGAACTATATACAGGGTGTCCTGAAATTCGCGAATCAAAATACCATAGCAAGAATGTCGTCGAAAAAATAAATTAAAAAGTTATTTGCCATTTTTCGTTCCGAGCAGTAGTTTTTTTTTAGATAAAAAGGTTCAAAACAGGCCAATCATACATTACGGTTGAACGGAAACCTGTCCGTGAGTCGCGCGTCGATAGTTTAGTGCATTAATACTATCGACGCGCGACTCACGGACAGGTTTCCGTTCAACCGTAAAGCGTCGTCTACAATAACCGGCGTAAGCGTGGAGTAAGAAGAAGTAAGAAAACCTAACCTTTACCTTTCAGTGTAAAAGCTAAAGAATAGACATAATTTTTTTAAATATTTGTAGCACTGGTCGAACTACGCTTTAATTCGCCGCGAGTAAGCGTCAGAGCTGAAGTAGGAGTAGGAAATGGAAATGATCCATTTCTTTACTCCTACTCTTACTTCTTACGCCAAGCTTACTCCACCTATTGTAGACGACGCTTAATGTATGATTGGCCTGTTTTAAACCTTTTTATCTCAAAAAAACTACTGCTCGGAACGAAAAATGGCAAATAACTTTTTAATTTATTTTTTCGACGACATTCTTGCTATGGTATTTTAATTCGCGAATTCAGGACACCCTGTATATACTGGTATATATATATATATATATATATATATATATATATATATATATATATATATCTTATAACTTGTCTCATATACTCGAATTTTAAACATAATTTACGTAGATTATTATTAATAAGAATCCTGGATATTAATAAATAATTTTTTCACATTACTAACTTACATGTTATTATTTGCATCTTTACCAATCTATGTTTTTATTACTTTGCTGTAATTTAAGAAAAACATTTTTATATCATATACAGGGCGCTCCGCAACTTTTTGACCGCCGTTCAGGGTGGCGTCCCATGGAGCGGAATCAGCGGATCGCCAATCGCAAGATTATTCTGATAGAGCCCTTTCAAAAATTGCGTCGAAACGGTCTTGTGATTGGCGATCCGCTGATTCCGCTTCCGCGTATTTCGCTCCATGGGACGTCGCCCTCACGGGAAGATGTCAGGGGGACTGAGCCAAACAGAAAAGTCCTCTGCCATTTTGCACTTGGAGGCTTGAACTGATCAGCCAATGACTAAACCAATTCACTAGTTATTTACTATTTCTTACTATTTGATACGCGTATCGAGTGCACGATGTAAACTAGGCCAATCTATTGTTAGCGAGTAATTCGTGGCTCTCGGCGCATAACATAAAGTGGCGCAAACTTCAGAGAGTACGACAGAGAGCACACGAGCTACGGGTAGGTGAAGTCCCGGACGCGTTTTTCTCAACGTTTTTCTCGGCTATCTCGTGACGTGGCGTCTCAAATGAATACCACCCTTTGTCGTTCCGTTGTTTCTTAAATCGCACGTATCCGTGTTCTTCCATGATCCACCCCGTCTTTGTCGATTCGTCAAGTATCTCCAAAGTCTCCAAAGTAAGAATACCCGAGTCTGCGATCTCCGACAGCTCCCATACCGGTCGACAAAATTTAAAATCACCAAAGACCTTGAAAAGATGAGCTGCCGTCAAAACACTGATATGGATCTGTTCTTCTCCTCTATCGACGAGGCGACGAAGACGTGGCTCGATTCCCTGCATCGAATGTGGGCACTATGTGAGCATTTGATTCACTTTTTTTCCCCGTACGTTTCATCATCTCGATCGCCCAGCATTGTATTAAATGTGCCTTCGTATCCAATCGCAGGGAAAAAATGCGACGGTGTCAGCAAAACGTTGACCGATTACTTTGAGACGGCTCCAAATCCGTATCTCAGTGCACTGAGAATTCTTGTCAACGTCTCCGATTTTGATCACATGACAAACAGCAAATCACTTGCATTTACAGGTTTACCTTTTTACTATTTGTTGTTTTTGCAATATACAAATTTTATATCTGAATATGATTTACATATTTGAAATATGTGAGATATGTATATATAACAATTATAATTTTTGTAATTTATTGGTTTATAACAAAAATTATATAATTACTTACGTTATACACCTCTGTCTCTCTCTCCATTGTCTTGAGCGTATTCTGAAAAAAAAGATACATATAAATTAGTTAAGTAAAATCAGAACAACTTGGCGTTCTTACTTCTACAATACATATCGCGGTTAAAGAGGCAGGTTTCTTAATATTGATGTTATTTTCTATAATTCAGTTCCAGTTATTTACCATAATTGCTGTAACAAAGTTTTGAGAGGTTATATCGTACAACAGAGGTAACGATACAAATTTCCCTGAAAAGAAAGTTAGGCTTGTAATTTTGATTGCGTTACAGTGACAGAAGAGTTTGCCAGTTGGATAGAAGAGAGGAAAGAGGCGTACGCGGAATTCCTTGTTCCCGACTTGAAACTGGCGGTATTTAATTTAGTGAGGCAGAAACATATGAAACAGATGCTGCTGATAAAGAAAATATCTGCTATATATGAGTTTGTGGAGCACAAAGACATATTCCTGCAAACGATAAAAGTATGTCGCCAGAGACGTGACATCTATATTATATTCATATACGTGTACTCTTCTAGGACATGATACGGGACAAAGAGTATAAAGAAGCTGCACAGTACGCGGCCATGTTACAATTGCAAAGTCATTTTATAGATCCAACAATATTGTTACTACCTCTCATACTGCAGAATAAGTTGCAAATAGTTGACGAATTTTTGATGGGGTGTCCCGAAGTTCAAGAGGCGTTGACAACTTATTTGGACAACCTAATAGCACCAGGGAAAAATGTGCAGATTGTTTTGGAACAATTTATTTAGTAAGTGGCAGGTTCATCGTCATTGTGTTTCTAAAAATCAGTTGTTACCTGAGAATTTTGTTTACTGAACTGGATCCTTTTAGTACGAATGATATACCAGACGTTAAGATATCATTGACGCAAGTTCGTCCGATAACCAAGCTTATTGCGCGTCTAATAAAGCAATATAACTTATCGCCCGACGTATGTCCCCACTTAAATACGAAACGAAACGAAGGAGCGCTGCAATTCCTTATACATAAGCGTTATGTGGACGGTAGCTTAAGTAATTATCCACTTTTCTATATTATTATTTGAAGCTTGATTCCCACTTGGGGATAAAAATTGCATTTCTTATTTAATTTGATTGCGTACAGATAACGCCAGTTGGCGAGAAATGGTAAAAGAGGCAGTAGGAGACGACGCAAAGTTACAAACGGAGCTGCTCACCATGTTGGTCAATGCTAATGATGCTGAAGAAGGTTTATACTGGGCGAGAGAATACGAAATACCTAAAGATGAATGGCCGTGGGCTGTCGTGCATCGAGAAGAACAAAATGCACAAAGTAATGTTTTTATCTGTATTTTTATACCCGCGTCTTGAGGAATGTCTACAATATTATAGTTTGCAGTGGTAAACGAAGGCGCTTCCACGAGTAGGGGAAAAGCCTGGGCACCAAATGAAGAAAATATTAATTATCATGTTTTAAAATTGCCAAGGGAGGGCATAAAATTAGTAGACGACGGACGGTTATTTGAAGAGTTTCTTGATAACGGATTAAGAGATGTCAATATGGTTGGACTTGACTTGGAGTGGAAACCTAGCTTTGGTAATTACACAATCAAAACTTTAACATAAGAAGCCAGAAAGCAACTTGTACGTTGAGTGTAAAACTTACAATTATTATTTGTACTTCCTCAGGAACTAAACAACCTGAATTAGCACTCATGCAAGTAGCTACTGAGAATAATGTCTACATTCTGGATGTGACTACTATTGGCAATAAATTACCTGAACTCTGGAGTGAGCTTGGCCTCATATTATTTGGAAATAAAGACATTGTTAAGATTGGTACGTGTTTTCAACTATCTAAAATAGTATGTAACATACATATATGTTATTGTATTTTACTTAATATTTTACATTCATCTTGGAAATAGACAATTACTTAGTCATCTCATGATACGAGAATGACGCGAATGTTGTAATGTTAATTATTATGTGTTTCATACAGGATTTGGAGTAGCACAAGACATGACTGTAATACGCAATAGTTTACCAGCTTTGTCATCCATTAAAACCCATGGCCAAGGATACCTAGACTTGATGCTTTTATGGAGAAAATTAACAGAAGAGTACAACTTTATTTTCCCGTACAAAGGTGATCCAAATTTTACGAACAAAAGCCTGAGTAAACTTGTGGAATTGTGTTTTGGACAGAGACTCGATAAGTCTGATCAATTTTCGAATTGGGAGCTGAGACCTTTGCGGGAAAGCCAATTAATATATGCTGGTTAGTAATTGCTTTTCGATTTCATATATTAGTTGATTTTTCCTATCGCTATACGTATGTGTATCTATGTGGCAGCTCTGGATGCACATTGTTTGCTGGAGATATACAATGTACTAGCAGATTATTCAGCAGATATGGACATACCATTTGAGGATATCTGTGCTGAAGTACAGCATATTCCGCACGTACATACAAAGACGAATGTGAATAAGTCTGTAAATAAGGTATAAATTATAACAAGTCGTATTAATATATCAACTTATAATGTTATAATCTTTATATTGATCTATCTTTACAAGTATAACATACATATATTTTTTTTATTATATTTCTGTTGAAAGTTACAGAACAATTGTCTAATTAAAACATAGATGTTAATTTTTTTACCTTTTTTGTATGTAAAAATAAATAATTTTTTTTAATGAACATGTTATATTGATTTAATTGCGCTCCTCTAGTGACTTTGTTACTAACCGTTTTACAGAAATATGTGTATCCAACGATGCCTAATAAAGATAATGAGAATTATCGTACGAATGCAGGAGCTTCACCGAAGTATGGGACAGCACACAAACCCATGCCTAAACATGGATATCAAACTAAACAGAATAATCAGGGTAGATTTGCACCTCGTGAACCAGCTAACGATAGTCGACATAACAATCAGAAAAGATATGATAATCATGATAGAAGTTTTGCGAATATTGGAGTAATCCGAGTAGTTAATGATGAGAGACACGATGGCCAAAGAAGATACGACGAGAATTACGATAATCATAATCGTGCAGATAGAACAGCGAATATTGGAGTAATTCGAGTAGTTGGCGATGGAAGACACAATGACCAGAGAAGACACGATAATCATAATCAGAATAGATACGCAAATGCTAGAATGAATCAAACGCCAAATGATGGCAGATACGACCAGAGGAGATACGATAATTCCGAGAATTATAATAGGCATGATGCCCAGAGTAGACGTGGCAATCAAGCTAGACGCGACAATTACAATTGGTATGATAAACAGAGTAAATGGGAGGATGTTCCGAGTAGACGAGGTACCCAAAGTTGGCAGAATAACGCGAGTAAACCCGAACCTGTACAACGATGCAATTTGGATCCAACTCCTGCGCATGCATGGCGCGTTGTGTGCGACTCAATGTTGGGTGGTTTAAGTAGCAAGTTGCGCATGTGTGGCATAGATTGCATACACGTGTTATTTGATCAAGGAGGAGACGATTCTGCCAGACTAGCGATGCGCGAGAACAGAATTCTGCTAACGCGTAATAAAAGTTACGAAAGAGTAAGATCCACTTTATTATATCTCTCGGCAGTCAATATAGATCTTGTTTTAATCGTCTCTATCACTTTAGTTCAAGCAGTATCTACCGTTGGAGAATTGCTATAGGATAATTGCCGACACGCCCGATAACCAATTGCGTGAGGTTTTACATCACTTTGGTGTTGTGGTAACGCAGAACGATATTTTCAGCCGATGCCAAATATGTAACTGCGATGAATTCGTGAAAGTTCCGAAGAAACTGATGGATGATCTTGTGCAAAGGTGAATTGATTTATCTGTTTACGTAGATACACACACGCACACACACACACACACACACACACACACACACAGGGTATTTAAAAGGAATGATTCCCCTTATTATCTCCAGAAGTACACACTTTCACGAGAAATAATCCAAATGGAAGTTTTATTACTCATGTTATTTAAAAATAATTTTACTTGATCTAGCTTTGTAAAAATTATAAGGAAAAATAATTACCGAGTACTGCCTAATCGAGCCGACAACACGGTGGAGGTCAATGCTGATGACTCCGATTCAAACGATGATTTCGAAGTTGTTCGGAACCCGAATAATTATTATACAAACAGTGAACGTCGTACATGGCGGTTGTCCATGGATACTCTTGACGTTGACTCATGTACAACCAAATATCATATGCGGATACAAATTGATAAAGTCCCACTGAACGTATTGAAGAATGTACAGGTCTTTTATATCTGCGAGCATTGCGGGAAGATTTATTGGGACGGTTCACACTTGGAGCGAGCTCTTAATGGCGTTATCAAAGATTTAATTGTTAAACAATAAGTATTAAATGTGATAAAAGACGCGTGCTCTTGAAAGGTTTGCAAAGCACAAAAAAAAATCAAAATGTCCTTAGTTTGGAAATGTCGAGTGCATGCTAATTGTTCCTACAATTTATGATGCCAATTACAAATATGCAATATTATCGCGCTTATTTAAGACATCTGGCCATAATACTTGTGGTATAGACGTAGGTCGTGTCGTTACCGTTCTTCCTTACATTTTTTAAGTATAGCATTAATATGTTCTGTTTTGTTTATCTTAGCTGCGTATGCTACATAGTAATATTATACATTAATATAATCTGAATTTCATTCTGAAAAAAGTGGTCACATCGATTACATTGTTGTATTATAATTACGATGCCATAGGTCTTTTTTTGAATGATGACTATTGCTAATAGTCATTATTTTAATATGAACTGTTAAATGACCTAAATAGTTTTTCAGATTAAATAGCCTTTTAATCATCCTTTGTAATCTTTAAATGATAAAATAATTTTCGTTTATTGTTTTTCAAAATCAAACAGATTGATTAATAAGAACCATGTACAAACATCCTGAGGTACAGCTTCTGTTACACGATTACATGCTTGACATATATGTATTTCTTATATAAGAGCGAGAGAGTGCAAGCACTTAAAAAAGTATGTACTTTGTGCTGCACATTTATATTGCAATTATCTCTCTTGAATCCATAAAAAAAGCCCATTAGAGTACAAGATGTTTGATTTTCCATAAAATATATCTTAGTTATTCATATAAAATATATACATATATTTAAAGAGAAAAATACACGCATCTATTTTTTATTGGAAAAAAAAATAATGGGGGGGAATGCTGATAAGACATCTTAGATTTAACAGTTTTTTAAATCTGTTAAAATTTCTATATTTTCCACCATCTATGTTGTGTAGTAATACTTTGTTTCTACCTATATCGAAATAAAAAATATAACTCTTCAATTTCTGTGATTCATTTACTACTACCTCAACTTGTGAAGCATAATACAAGACGATGCACGATACATTGTACATGAAATGAAGATATGTACACATGACAGAAAAAAATATTTTACAAGTCTCAAATTTAGCATCAAGTTTTTTTTAAATATATTCAATATATTGTAAAAGATGGCAGGTAACTGGCTACTTGAGAACCAGTGAACCACTTCAGCAAATATAGATATTCACTTTAACGTCTACTCACTGTAATACTCGGACCTAGGAGAGGAGCTCTATCCTGTGTGAAATGATTGAGCGATGCCCACTAATGGTAACAAACATTGTGTGCTTTCGGACTACTGAATTATAACATCGGATGAACGTTGAGACGTTACTCAATTAATTGCTTGATGAGCTTACCAAGTCCGGTGACATGTCAGCGAGTATTGACGCTGACCAACGAAGGAAAGTCACAAACCAGTATATACTTTATTATGCTAATGTCTATACAGAATACAAATATCTACAAAAAAATATATTTTTTATTTTGCCGGTTCTCCGGCTGCTGACGGGGATTCCCTAACTGGATCAGAATTTTCAAATTCTGCTGGTTCTACAAGTCGCTTCTTTCCATACGGCGGCGGCCCAATTAATTTTTCCACGTCGTCGTACGACAATGTTTCCCTTTTTAGTAGAGCTTCCGCAAGCTGTATTAAAAATATTTCATATACATAAATTTATAATATGTAAAAAATATACGTATGTATATACGTACTGTATCTAATTTGTCTTTATTATCCAACAGTAATTGTCGAGTTCGTTCGTATGCTTCCCCTATTATTCTTCTTACTTCGGCGTCCATTAAATTACCTAGCTTTTTACTATACAGCTTCTTAGTTTTCTACAAGACAAAAGAAATTAGACGTCACGCTCTCGAGTATAATAGACAGGAACTCGCGGTAAAATTATTCTTTCATACCGTGCTAGTATGCTCTTCTTCGAAAGAAATCAAACCCACAGCCGGACTCATTCCGTATTGTTGGACCTGGTGATATGCCATTTCTGTTATGAACTTCAAGTCGTTTTTGGCGCTCGTTGTGATTTTATCAAATGTCACATGTTCTGCGACGCGACCACCTATCGTCATACAAATTTTCTCGAAGAGTTGTTCCTTGCTGTAGAGCTTGTGATCGGTTTTCGTGTACCGCGCGAATCCCAGTTTTGAGTTGGTTCGTGGCACTATGGTTACTTTGAGCAAGGCGTCGGTGTGCTCCAATAACCAGCCCACTAACGCATGACCGGCTTCGCGATAGGCGATGATCCGCTTCGTGGACGGTGTTAACGGGTTATTTATCTTTGTCAAACCACCGATCGTTCTGTCGATCGCGTACGTAAGATCGCTGCTGTCTACTTGCTTCTTCTTATCCCTCGCGGCGTGTAGCGCAGCTTCATTGCAAACGTTTGCTATGTCAGCACCTAAAAACATCGTGCTTGGTAAGTGTATGATTGAAATGACAATGCGTACAAAACACGTTACTCTTTTCACAGATAAATGCAATACCACTAAAACCGGATGTAAGATAAGCCAAGTATCCCGAATATTTCGAAGGTTTGTCTTGTAAGGATATTTTTTTCAAGTGGGTCTCAAAGATTTGTTGTCTCTCCTCCAACGTGGGGAAATCGATTAAAATGTGCCGATCAAATCTGCCGGGTCTCAATAACGCCTTGTCCAACACTTCTGACCTGTTCGTCGAGGCCAGTATAATAACGTTCTCCTTTGCTATCATTCCGTCCATTTCTACCAAAAGTTGATTCAACGTTCGTTCAGATTCACTGTCGGAAACCCCGAGCGAGCCCTCCGAACGTTTCTTACCAATCGCGTCAATTTCATCGATATATACAATACTTGGTGCTCTGAGAAATTAAAGTAAACGTTAAAATATTATTTCGACAAATTTTGAGAAACAATAGAGCGGACGAACCTCTTTTTAGCTTCTTTGAACAAATCCCGGACTCGGGCGGCACCTAAGCCACCGAACACCTCAATGAATTCGGAGCCGTTCATGGACAGGAAAGGAACGCTCGCTTCAGTCGCTACAGCTTTAGCCAGTAACGTTTTGCCACATCCAGGAGGTCCCAGGAGCAAAACACCTAAAATAGGATTGTATTCTTAGGATCCAATTTTATGGCATAAACTTGATAGAAACGCTAATGATCTCCTATTTATGTATACAGAAGGACCCTTGTACCCGCGAGTAATATATCCAAAGGCCTATCACGGATAATACCATTGGTTTCTTCAACGTACCATTTTTAATTAAATCGAACAAAGTCACAATTAAATATGTACGTAAAATATGTAAAAATAAAAGTACACAAAATATGCAGAATCAAACGTTTAGAATACCTAAAATATTACGTGACCACACAATGAATACAAAGAATGTGTGCGGAAAAATGTCAATTATAGCCCGTGCACGCGGACTACGATGTACCGCGGATACAAACTCTTCTTTTTTTCTTCTTCTGAATAAGTGGAATTTGCTTTAACTAGACTAAAGAATTGTTTATAGCTCCGAGAATATTAATTTTCCGATCTACGCTTATTAGGACTTTTTTGGTTCATTTCGTGAACATTATTTAAAGTCCTGAACCCTTTCCTTAATATCCTGTACAAGTCGGCGCATGTTACCTTGCGGTATTTTAGCGCCCAACAGTTTGTACCGTTCCGGCTTTTTCAGATAATCAACAAACTCCATCACTTCTATCTTAGCCTCCTTTAGTCCAGCCACGTCCGCGAAACGTACACCTTTACCCTTTCCCACCAATGGGTCGACTAGGGTAAATTTCGCCTGTTTCATCTGCGAGAAAAACTCGAAAGGTTTGAAGGAAAAGCGTTTTAGCACGAAACTAAGAACGGTGGCAATTATCAGCACAATAAGCGCAATTTTCATGATAGCTGCTATATATTCCATCTTCCTCTCGTAAATCACTTGTACTCCTTGGCCTGAAATATTTCAAGAATTGTAATCTAGTGCGTGACGTTTATCAACGCGTAGCGTATTATATTGCTTACCGGCTTTTATGCCGAGCTTCTGCTCCACCTTCCTCAGTTTCTCTTCAAAATTTTCAATGCTCGGAACAGCCATGAGATAGTTCTTATACATGCTTCTCTTTCCTTTAACGATAGCACCATCGTGCACCACAATTATAACATGATCGATACCAGGATTTATAATAATTGTCTGGACTTCTCCCTTCTTCAACATGTCGTATACAAATTCATTCCAGGAAATAGAAGCAGTAGGCTGTTCAAACATGATACGTGAAGTGTTTTTTTTAAGTAATTCACACGTTCAACATTTTTTAAGTCCTACGATAAGTGATGATTAATAAAAACTTACTTCTGTACGCGATTGTTGTCTCAATACAATTAGACCAACGTACAATATCATACACAATATGGAAAACTTAGTAAGAACTGATTTCATATCATTTTCGTCGGGTCTCTTATCTGGATTTTCTGAGTCCGATTTCTTTGCCGATTGTTCGTTGAAATTACTGGACGTGGTATTAAAATATACGACGCTGTCAAGTCTCGGAGAAAAGCTGACTTTGCCACCGCACAACAATGCCGATTGTATGGCGTGCAATTCTCTGCGGAGCTTCTTGTAAGCCTGAAAGCAACCCAGATCCTAAACAGTTACGACAATCTTTCTAGTTACACTCTAAGAAAGATATCTATAGAAAGATTGTATCCAGGTGGTTGTCACAAGTTGAAAATTAATTGAAAATTAATTAGACAAATAAATGCAAATAGAAATATGATTAAAAGAGTGCACATGTTGATACTTGCATGGTAAGACGTGGGAACAAGTAACCTGTGAGCTCCATTATTACACGCGTAACTTGAGTGTTTAACGTTGACAAGGAGTTTTTCCTTTGAGAAATAAGCGCTTTTGGATGGAAAATTGAATATCCGACTTGGCACTACGTAATATCGCTTGGGACACTTGGTTAGGTTCTGCATGATTCAAACTTCACAGGGTTCACATCTCTCAGGTCTGTTCTTAAGTCTGTTCTTTAGGGTGACGTCACATGGCGCGTAACTTGCGTAAGGGCGACGTCCCATGGAGCGGAGCCAATAAGGATGCAGTTTTAGATCAGGTGACTCAAGGCTAAATCCTGATTGGCTCTCGCAAGCAATCCAGTAGGAAAAAAAATAGTATCGTGTGCCGTTGACTTAAGATCATCTTAAGTATACTCACCAATCACAGAGCCGTATCAGCATCTTAAGGCAACGCTTAAGATAATTTTGAGGTAAGAATCGACTATGAATACCGGTCTAAAGCCCGCTGCAGACGATGCTATTTTTCCTGCTGGATTGCTTGCGATTTAATAAATTACTATCGTTGCACCATTCAGCACTCAGGATTCCTAGTAATTTCGTAAATCGCAAGCAATCCAGCAGGAAAAATAGCATCGTCTGCAGTAATGCGATTCTGTAACTCGTTATGTCGTCGTTACGGGCTTCCCTTATGAAAAATACACTCAATAATCTTACGTTGACGGTCCGAAATAACCATCAAATTGAGTGTAAACCTTCATAATCGAGTGTTTCATGAAGGTTTACACTCAATTTGATGGTTATTTCGGACCGTCAACGTATGATTTTTCATAAGGGTTTGCGCAGATCTAATATACCGTAGAAAAGCTGCGCAAAGCCCATAACGACGACATAACGAGTTACAGAATCGCACTACAGCGGGCTTAAGCTATGAATTTCAAACATGCCATCTAACGAATGTACTCAAAATTGTAATCGTCGTCTAATAAAACGCATGACTTTCGTTATCTGAAATCTTTGTTGCAACTGTGAAAATAAAAAACTCAACACAATTGTCACATACATTTATTAAGTGTTAAACAAAAGCAACGGTTCAATGATCAAAACGAATAATTTACTGTCCTGAGTGTGTAAGGATTGATAGATCTAAATACGTGCTCTCGTTTTGCTCTCTTTGTGAACCAATGTTCTTGTTGCAAAACATAAAATCTGTCACTTGACGCTGTTATACAAGACCCGTGGTTAAGTTTATAAAAATTTAATGGAGAACATATACATAATATTGAAATATTTACAAGTTCCTCGAAGAGTGAGGGGGTGACAAAACAAAGATTGCAGTCTGGCGTAATGACGGATCAAGTTCAAAATAATAGTTACAATCGGAACATTTATGGGCACAGATCACATGTTTCATTTGTTACTACAATCATTTCTTCCCAGATTTTTTTATGCCGCCAGTGACCAGAGGACCCTTCTGGCTGGCTTTCTTTGCCGCCTCAGCCAGCGCTTTCTGCGCTTCCTTTTGCTTTTGCTTAAACGCGACATCCTCATCATCCATAACCTTGGAGTCCTTCTTCGGGGCCTTCAAGGGCTTCTTCTTACCTCCTTCCCGGCTGGACATTCTAAAATACACCAAAATTAGTCACACGTGTTTAATTATCGTTTAAGGTCTGTGTCCTCGATGCCAGAACTTTATCCAAGTTCTAGCATCGTGGACACAGGCCTTTAGGAATGGCAGAAAAAAATATTGCGTTGTCAGAGTTCACGAGTTTTTTTTTGGCCAACTATCAAAAGCACCCAAGTTTCACTTTAAATGATTATAAACGGTACTTTTTGAAACGTCTATCTCTGCTGTCTTCCGAGTGTATCATGCGTGATTTTTTATTAATGTTCTGATTCTGTCATCTACAGTCAAATGATTTTCAAGGTACTTTGTTTCAAATCTAGCGAACCGCTTCCAAACGACAAAAAGCAACGGCGTCGTTTCGATACACTTAATAATCTGCTTTTTATCTGTAGTCAAAAACATCACGTGTCGCAAATGCACCTCATCTTTCATCGCCGCGACTCGATAACGACGCACGAATTCGACCGAGTTCCCTTACAAATGATATATAAATGTTACTTGTGACCTTTCAATCTTTGAAACAGTTTACGCAACACTCGTAGGAATATCTGTGAAACTCGTACGAGTTTCTCGGAGAATCCCATAACCGTAATGACAAACGTCACACGTTTAATCGATATAACCTCCGCCGAAGCGAATGATAAATTCAAATAAGACATAAGCTGTACAATATTAATTGTAATACAAGCGCAAAATGAAATCCACAGCTCATCCAATGTGCGAGAAACAGTTTAAAACTGTAGCTGCGACGTATTCATGGAACAGTAAACGTATACCACGCGAATACGACTCGCACGAAGTCCATCAGTAATATTCGAGTTCTCGACTCACTTGCAGGTGTACTAAATTCCCAGACTGGATCGCGAGGTACAAACGGCGGACTCGAGAATTCGTTCGGGGCAAAAATTAACAAATGTACACAATTTAGACGGTACGAGCTACGACAAAGTTTTCTTGAGCCGATCGCATAGACTGTGCTGCCACGAGCTGTGAATTGCGAAGCTGGACGACTTCAAGACACTTCAAGTCTGTTCCTTGTAGCTGTTTACTTTTCTAAAACGTCTCAAGAATCCAGCGAGCTCTATGACATATGCTGGAGTGAGTGCAAGTGAGTGGTCCTATTGTTTCCTATTGTTCTCGTCTCTTTCTCCAGTATCCGATTGGTCGATTTTCTATCTTCCGATTTCTATCGATCGACATATAGAATGGGCTAGAGTCCTAAATAATGAGAGAAGTGCAATCGTTACCCCCTCCATGCTTTTCATGGTCGCCATGTTGGGCGCCCACAGCTAGTGCAACAGTACATACACTGTACAGCTAAAATAGCACGGGTTAAGCCTATCGCACAATGCCAGGCAACAGGCAATAGGAATAGAGAATAGAATTTTTGACGCGTTGGATTCGTCGGAAATTTTCTTCCAACCAATCCAACGCGTCAGAAATTCTATTCCCTGTTCCTATTGCCTGTGCTTTCCTATTGTGTGATAGGCTTTAAGCCTATCACACAATGCCAGGCAACAGGCAACAGGAACACGGAATAGAATTTCTGACGCGTTGAATTGGTTGAACGAAAATTTCCGACGAATCCAACGCGTCAAAAATTCTATTCCCTATTCCTATTGCCTGTTGCTTGGTATTGTGTGATAGGCTTTATGGTACGATAAAACTTTAAACTATGCAACATATATACTTAAGATGTATCAAAAATGTCTCAGGGATATCTAAAATATGTTTTCTTTTAGAAGATAACATTACAAATATACCTTCTTTTTATTTACGGTACGCTCATGTTAGTTTGCACTTGGGATTCACTACGGGTTCAACATGGCGGTCAACCAATTAGCAAGCGAGACGCCAATTGCAGAAGTCAGCGCTTAATAAGCGCTTTATGCTGATTGGATAGATCTAGAAGAATAGCTCTATTTCAGCACAGATCTGAAAGTATAATCCAATGAGCGCAAAGCGCTCAGCAAGCGCTAAGGCTGGATTCACATGGAGCGTAACTTGCATATCACCAATCACAGGGTCATTCTGATAGAACCGTTTCAATAATTCCGTTGAAATAGTTCTGTGATTGGTGATACGCAGGTTACGCTTACGCAAGTTACGCTCCATGTGAATCCAGCCTCACTTCTACTGAACGCAGTCATTATTTGGAACCCTACTTTCTTGCGATGAAAATAAAAATATCAATCTGTCATAAGACAAATGTAATATTAGCCCATCTCATTTTCAATTGCAGATGTAATATGGCCATAAAGAACAGACGTCTTATACCACATGCTCGTGGAATGACCTGTGGATTTTATATTAAAAGACATTGAAAAATAATGTTTGATTATTCGAAGAAATAAAATAAATTTCATTCGATCGCGCCACGCGTGATTTGCAACAGCCGAAAATCTCACTTGAAACACGCGATCCGAGAATTCAATACAATGCTGTTCAAGCTTTGCGGTAAACATGCACGTAAGTTTCGTACGTATATGTATTTTTTATAACAGCGAGTTTGATCGAGGTAATTTAAACTTGAGAGCACGCCCTCAACTCTCGAATATCAGACATTAAAACCAATATCGATATATTCCCCACTCTTCCAGTTTCTTTTGTCCGGAGTTCGAGCGTTGGTAGCATTGATGTCATTACAGAGAGCCCAAGTTCCATGGTTTAAAAGTTTTTCTACTGTATTATCTTTTTGTTTAGGAAACGCAAATTGTTCTCTTTTCAAGAAACCAGATATTTCAAGTCATTCTTTTTCGTGTGTTTCTCTCCACTTTTTAAGAAACGCATGACGCAGGAAAAATCTTGTCACGTGTGATATATAAAAATTAGAGTGGGGGCAAGATATTCGAATAAACGGCTTGACCGTTAGTGTTCGCTAGTTAGTCTCGCGATAATCAGCAAGGACGGTGACAGAGTTGATAGAGCAAGCGGCGAAGTTCCCCGAGGAGATAATTAAAACATTTAATACGCGACGATCAACGTCGGGACAATTCAGACCTTTCGCTCACGTAACTAACGAAATATTCGTTTATTTATTAATTTCGTACTAAGTGGAAACTTGGTTTAAAAAATTGTCTGACGTCAAAGCTCTGCGTAATAGTAGAAATTACCCAGTGTTACATATGTCACGTGTGTTATGTTATGCGTTGTCTAC